CTAACCTTAATGGGCCTTAATTGGGTCTAACTCTTTTATTAAAGTAATGGGCTTTTCTACAAAGTATGAGTCATCTTCTTCGGCTTGGCTTCACTGGAGAAGAAGGGATAAATCGGCAATGCATAGTGGATATGCTTTCGCTTCACCAATTGTATCTTTACGTCTCTCAATTGAAATCAAAAACCCATTTTCAAAGCTTCGAGCTTTATCAGCTCAATTACCTAAAACCCAGATTCAGATCAACTCTTCCGATAAATCTCCGGCGATTAAGGTTTCGTTACCGTCTCATGTGAATTCCATTACCAGTACTTCAAACCCTTTTGTTAAACACTGCTTAAAGCTCCGTCAAAGCTCTTCTTATCGCCACGCTCATGGCTCTGTTCTTGTCGTTGGAGCAATCCCAATTAGGTATACTCTGTTTTCTTTATGTGTCTGTGTGTTTGATTGATTTCAAGGAGAGAACTTTAATTAAGACATTATTTTACAGGGAAGTATGTATGTTCCAAGAGAATAAGAGAGGAATCAAAACTGAGATTGAATGTTTACTTGTTCTAGAGAAAGCTCAGATTCCACAAGGATTAGAGAGTCTAAGTATCCGTATTGTTATAGTTAGTTCTTTAGTGATGAAGAAACTCTCTGGAGTGCAATCTACTGAATCTGTTGAAGCCATTGCCTTGATGAGAATCCCTAATAGCTTCATTGATCTTAAAGATGAGGAATACATTACAACAGATTGCAAGAAATGGTTCCCTTATGCTCATCGAGTTCTTGTTTTAGACAGAATTCAGGTTAATTTGTTCCTTTGCTAAACGAAATCGTTACAGTTTAGTTTAATGATCGTTTCTTGATCGAGGATCGGTAATAGTTTCCCATCGATGTTGTTGCAGGACCCGGGGAACCTTGGCACGTTAATCAGATCAGCTATGGCTTTTAATTGGGTATAAATGATCAGCCTTTTAGATAAATGTCTAATGAGAATATCATCATTAACTCGCTAATGTTTTCGATAGGATGGTGCGTTTCTGCTTCCGGGTTGTTGCGATCCATTCAACGACAAAGCTCTTCGAGCTAGTCGTGGTGCTTCGTTTCAACTCCCTATAGTTTCCGGCAGTTGGAACCGCCTTCAGCTTCTAGAGCATGAGTTTCAAATGAAGCTATTAGCTGGTCATCCAGCAACTACTACTCAGAAACCGAAACCCGTTTCCAAACTTTCCTTCGAGTTTGCTCAATCTTTAGAAGAGAAGCCCTTATGTTTGATCTTAGGGAGCGAAGGGCACGGTTTGTCTGAGCAGTCACGTAAAGTATGCGAGCTCGTGAGCATTCCTATGGCAGGTGAGTTTGAATCTCTTAACGTCTCTGTTGCTGGTGGTATTTTCTTGTTCATGCTTCAATCTTGTTCCGGGTTTTAATAACACTTATAAATCTTATAATGCCATAAACCATAACAAATCACAATAAAATCCAAAACAATTTCATTAAAATAAACAAAAATGAAAAAATAGATCAAAATGAATGTTAAAAACCCTGATCTATACAACTATAAATAATCTCTTAAAATTAGTGTAAAAAATGAAGAAAAAAAAAACCCAAATAGTAACCATTGTATGAATCTAATCTCTAGAAGGCTCTTCGAGACGAATGTAATCATACATAAGACCTTCAAACGGTCCGAACACTTTAGCCTGTCGAAGATAAATCGTGTTGGTCCCGGTTCTTAGCAACCTTCCAGGCACATTGATGCTGTAAAGGCGGTAAATTCCATGGATCCCATGTCTTGCAATAGCATTATCTCTTCCGATATTACCCGTTGAGAAAAATGGCATCGAGTATTCGCTGTTGAATCGTACTTGTAGATTAGCCCGTGATGCCGAGGCTAAAGCTAGCTGCAATGTGTAGCTACCTCGCCAGTTCACGTATGGAAGATTAAACACAATCTGCCATGTCGTTGGTTCGTAGGTCGAATCACCAATGTTTCTGCAGAGAAAGCAAATCATAATCAAAAGTTATTCAAGAATTCATCAAAAGTTTCAATCTTTGTTCATTTATATAACTTGTGTACCTTGTGACATGAGCGTAGAACCAGTCTTGGCTATAGTTACTAGCTCCAATTGTGTAGACAAGATCACGGTTTGGATATAACTCTGTTTATCGTTGCCACAATCCGTACTGCCTAAACCTGTGAAACAAACCAAACCGGAGTCATTAGAATCAAAGCTGATTTTCGGAACCAATACGAACCGGGAATCATGAGGAATTGAAGACTTACTTGTCCGTGTGGTTTAGGTATAAGGGGTTCATTGAATTCTTGTATGGCTCCGGTACAAAGAATTCTCGTGCGGTTCGATCCGGTACACCAATCTCCCATATCGTTGGACCGTTCCTAGGAGGCTCGTACACGACTCTACCAAGGCTAATCTTAGAACCAGCGGCTACGTCAACACGGTTTTGGTATCGAAAATCACCGATAAAACCGGGAATCCATCCGTACAGATTGTAAGTTCCCGGTCTAACGTTATCGATCGTGAAATAACCGGTTTCGTTAGTCTTTGTCCAAAATTGATAACCCTGAAAAATAACAAAAAATTCAACGATTAATACAAGTAATTTAATCATTCAATTACATAAAATTTTAAATCAAATTTTATCAAAGTGTAATAATAATAACAAACCTTAGTATTTGTCTGCCATGAACCAGCTACTCCCGGCGGTGCTAAACCGACGTATGCAGATTTTCCCGGCGTAAAAAATCTGTAAAATATTTGCAAAGAAAAATAAAATTAATTAAAAGGTCAAAATAAATAATTTAAAACTATTTTATTTCGGATTTTGTGTATTTTTGTTTTTACCTGTCGTTGACTAAGAGACGACCAGTAACGATTCCTCTTTCTTTACGAGAAGGAAAGTCAGAGGATGCTACAAAATCGTACGGCCAGGCTTTAACTTCTTCTTTGGTCTGAAAAAAAAATTAACATAACTAAAATTAAAATCTCTTCTTTACATAAATTAAAGTTAGAAGAAACAATTTTTTTTGTTTTAAAAAATAATAATAATAACCTGTTGTTTAGCATCTTCCCATAATAAATCGGAAGGATAATTGCCGGTAGAATCAGAATTTAAGTAAATGAAAATAGGTCCCAAGACCTTTTTCCATGCTTCACCAGTTCTGTAATGTGTCTCCATGTCCGTACCAACATAATGTCCGCTTATAAAAGTCTGCATTATCAAATTATTTAATAAGATGAATTTTTATAATCTTTTTGGTAGTTAGTTTTGGACCAATCTCTTACCGTGAGGGCCGTGGGACCGACGTGAGAGGTGAGCTCCTGCTTGATCGGTCCACCAGAACGGTATTCGCCGCTTGGTGAGATGAGCCAAAAACCGACGTGGGATTTGGTTGAGATCCAACCGTGCACCTTGTTGTCTTTGATCTCACAAGAGTACTGGTACTTATCATCCACCTGAAAACCCATTCCGTTTAAACAATCGAAATTTCAGGATTTTGGATGCAAGAACAAAATTAGGATATCAATCGAAATTCGGGGATCTTGTAACCCGAATATCTTAAGTTTACTAGATTTCAAAAAAAGTATATAGAGATTAATTAAGTTACCTGGTTTTTGAACATGGGGTTACGAGGATGGGTCAATTCTACGGCCTCTTTGTAAGCTAGAGCCTTGGCATGTCCACGGTGGATGTCACGGTCATCGTCAGTCGGCATTTCTCTTTGCCGATCATCCGCCACAACCATGTAATGGAATCTACAAAAACATATTTTTATCAAATTTATTGTAAACCTTTTTCATAAAACAAATGAATTATCGATTTTACTATATTTGATATCATCATATAATATACCTATCGGGGTTTAGTTTGAATGCGATTCGAACTTGACCCATCTCGACCTCTGGCCATTCGGGAAGTCTCTCGAAGATTCCGTATGTGTAGATTCCTGACGTATTTGTACGTATAATATACCTCTTGTCTACATTCAATGGAAAATGAGAATGAGAATCACCATTCCATTTTCTAGAGAACGAAATCTCCACTTGTTCTTCGTTTTGAGATATGATTCTAAACTTCGTTCCTTCGATTCTGAACAAAGAATAATAAGTTAATAAATCAAAAAGATTTAGGCTCTATCAATGTGAACATGTGTTAGTTTTAATAAATAAAATTCTAACTGACAATTCAGACAAAGTATTAAATAAATTAGTTAATTACCTATCCAAGCCCCGATAGTTTTCTCCATGCCCTGTTATGTCCCAATACCTACATATTATCAAATTAATTAATCAGGACTTAAAATAATATAAGCTTATATACTAATGAATTAAATGAAATTATTTTAATTCATTGATAGATTGATCGCCCTCGAGCTCGGATATGTGGATTAAGAACATTATCGATTCCTTTGTATTTGATCCCAGTTATAAGTCCTTGAGGACTCGAGAAACTGACTCTGATAATCCCATTGTCCACAATCACCTGCAAAAG